CTAGGATCCTACTTCTCTCTGCTTTCAGACATTCTTCCTTCTCTTTTATTTTTCCTCCACTCAGTAAACATGGAGTATGCTGCACACACGAAGAAAAAGGCTGGTGATTTCTGCGACATTTCACAACCCAGGAAACAGAGCCTTGCGTAGACACTGTGCAGGCAAGCAAGGACAAGGACATGGCGAAGGCTGTATGGCCCAGCTTTGGTGTTGATATTGGTAGTGGCGGTGACGACTGCACGCGGACTGGACGTGGTCAAGTCACGGCAGGACGGGCTCGAGGCGTCGGTGGTGCGGGATGGGGCAGTTGCCCCCTCCTTCTCCGCAGAAGCGAGCCCGGTTGCTCCTGACTGGATGCCGTGGCCGTTTCTCTCCTCCATCTTCTCTCCCTTTACGCGCCTCTACGAGGAACACGCCCCGCAGAGCCACTTTCTCGTACGGCACCACGCGCCCATAGAGGTCACCAACTTTGGCGTGGTCGATGGCTTGGGCCAGATCTCCAGGACTGGTATGCCTCTTCTTCTCCTTCTTCTCCTTCTTCTTCTCCAGTTGCCTCTTCTTCCTTGATGGTGATGATATTGTTCTATGGAGGTAGATCCTTTGTTGAAGGTGAGCACTACGCTCAAGAGCTCTAGTGGTATCAACAGCGAGGCCGTGAAGGAGAAGGATGAGGGTGGGTTGTACGTGTACCACCTCGAGCTGGACTACGAGTGCAACGAAGAAGACCCGGTGAAGCGGTTGGTTGTGGTTCAGCTGCGCGAGCAGGCTGGCGATGCGCCTAGCGACCAGCAAGTAGAGACGGCGCCCAAGCTCACCTTCATGTTCAGAAAGCAGTGTCCCCTCCCGCGGCCGGCACGTACGTCGTCTCCACAGACTCCTCACCTCCGCTTGAGCCCTCGACAAGCTGGTCTTGAAGACTCACCAAAAAGGGCATCACGACGGTTCAGGCGAGGCCGAGGAGTGGCCAGTCACGGCATTGTTCACGACCTGGAGAGATGGCCTGCGAGGCGGCTCCCTGTTGATCGCCTCACCGTCATCGTCGTTGGGCGAAGAGAGTATCTATTACCGCTTCCGCTGGCCCGCACTGATGGTGGTGGTAGATGAGGCACAGCAGCAGGAAGGCTACGGCCACGCGCGGGCGCCTGTTGAGGCGCAACAGCGCCACCAGACGCAGCGGCCCGCGGAGACAGCGCGTCGAGAGATGCTGCGTAGCTTCTTCAACATGCCGCTGTGGCTCACCGATGCGCTGATCGTCATTGGGATGGCGACCATCGCCATCGCGGCCGTGATGTTGGTCGTCGACCTCTCAAGGCTTTCGTCCGCGGCGGGGATGAAGACGGCCACGTGGCAGATGGAGCCGACGGCGAAGAGGTAGTGCCGCTGTTGGCGCACGCAGCAGAGCCCGACATCGCGCAGCCGGCCGAGGAACAATTCCAACACCAACACCAACTCAGCGAGACGGACCAGCTGGCGAAGGAGGCAGTCAAGCCTAACCCCGAGGCGCTGATGACGTCAGGAGGCACCCAAGTCCGCCGAACAGCTACAGCAGACCTAAGAGAGTTGAGGAAGCGGGAAGGCCCTCAATGACCACAACGAGCACACAGAACCGAATATAAAAAGCAAGCCGCTCCTTGAAGAAGATGATGAAAGCAAAGTTGTCATTGTAGGCGTGGGTGAGGTGGAGTTCGATGGCGCACTCGGGCTACGCCACGGATTCAAAGTGGAGCGCGTGACACAGAGACAAAATTGGTTTTGGCTCTCCCAAAGTTCGCCCTCTTTTCCATCTCTTGGCAGCCCAGGCGCCAGAACATGGTTTGCAACGCGCATAGGCCCTGTATCGACCCACCAGCGGAACCTACGAACATGACAGTTGGCCGATAGCGCTCTTGCAGCGAAAGAACGAGGCGTTGGTTGTACGAAACAATCGTGAGGTGTCATGGTAGCATGACTCACCCCACCACCTTCTCAGGTCGTAAAACTGGAAAAGAGGCGGAAAGGCGCGCTGCTGTGCTGGTGTTGAGGGGATGAGCACACGGGTGAGTGCGAACCCGAGGTGAATCCCATGTCACCACTCACAGGCCAGGTCATGCCAATGTTGATTTCCTTGACCCATCGCGCCGGCCAATCGCTGTGCCGGCAGTCCCCATGTGCTGGCGAACGCTCCGAGGGTTTGCACGCCCGTGATGAGGAGGTGAGAGGTGAGAGGGTTCGAGTGCCAGGGGTGGTCGAACCAGTCCATTCCCCCAAACGGCCGAATCAATTGTTGGGAGCGCAAGCCGCCGAAAACCCACGCCCCAGCGGCCTCCACGATCAGGAAACAACCACTCACGCGGAACCTGCTCGCAGGCGATTGGGCGTGAGCGTAACTGGCAGCCCTGTCGCCCGTCACGCCGGTTGAGGGTTGAATTGTGATTTTTTGAATCGACCACCCGCGAGGCCTCAACACGCAGCGGCTTAAGAAGCCTCCTCCACTCGCCTGGCTGAAGACAGACAGTTGGCTGGCCGGCCCCAGGATAGAGTAACGCGTTCTCCTCCCGTGTTTCCCCCCGCGCACACACGCACAGCACCGTCACCATCAGACAGAGCGAACGGCAGTACTGTTGGACACGGACCGCCTGGCGCCACCGCGCACACGCGACAGCAGTTCCTTCATCGCGTCAGGAACAGTACAAGACCAGAGCAACACGAGTAGGCTTCGTCCTGGTGCTTGGCTCGAGCAGGGACCTGCAACTCACCACTTCTAGCAAAACCACCCGAAGGGTCATCAACCCAGACGGCTCGATCATCTTCGGTTCGAGAAGACGCGAAGGATGGAGATGCTCTACTCGCCTTCGTCGCCATCTTCGGCGGCGTCGAGCGACTCGATCCCATCCCTGAACGACCCCGGGGCCAGCAGCGAAGGCGACGCGTGCCCGAACGTCTCTTCATCATCGACCCTGGTGGGCGTCGATGACGACGACGTCGTTGGAGGAGACGATGGCAGTGGAGCGTCCCAAGATGAGCCCAGCAAGGACTCGATCCTCACCCTGCTCGGCATGCGCTTCCTGCCCACCACGCCCAACGCCCACCACATTCCCTCGTCGCTGGCCTCGCCCATCACGCCCATGGTCGGCCAGTCCTCGACGCCGGTGACCTTCGCAGGCGCTTCGCCCTCCACCAGCGGCGGCCACTCCCTGTCGTCCACGTTCCTCGCGCCGTCGCCCCTGACCCCGGCCTCGTCGTCGCTGGGCCTGCCCACCTCCTTTGCCAACCCGGCCATGTCGGGCATGTCCGGCACCTCCTCGACCGGCGCCTTCCCCTACTACTCCACCTCGCTCCTGTCCCCATCTTCCTCGTCCCCACCCGCCGTCTACACCCCGCCCTCGCCCACCATGCCCTCCGCCTCGGCCTACCAACACCAACACCACCAACACCACCAACACCACCAGTACCAGCAGCCGCAACACCTCCAGTACCAGCCTTCTTCCTCGTCGTACCCGCTCACGTCGCAGCTGCTCTACCCGCAGCAGCCGCAGCCCCAGCAACAGTACCAGCAACCGCAGCAGTACCAGATCGTGCCGCAGCAGCAGACCTACCAGCAACAGCAGCAGTACCAACCGCAGCAGCACTCGTCGTCGGGGTCGTTCGGGTTCTTGCCGTCGCAGCAGCTGTACATCCAGGCCCATCTCAACTCGGACGCGGCGGGCGACCACCACTCGTTCGTCGAGCCGCTGGGCGTGGGCCACAAGCGCAAGGCCGACTTGGCACTGACCGACTCGACCCTCCACCACCAGCACCACCATCAGCACCAGCCGTACCAGCAACAGCTCCACAACTCGAGCGAGCTAACGGTGGCGCCGCACAGGAGAGACCACGACGGCTACGGCGGCCACCATCACCACAACCACCACCACCACGGCCAACAGTACCAGCACCAGCACAACGGCGGCCACCACCACCATCACCAGCAGCAGCAACAGCCGCATCACCACCAACAGCAGCTGGTCGTTGCCGCCAAGGCCAAGAAGCGACGAGTGCGGAAGACCTGGACCGAGCGGTTCCAGCAGCTCAAGGAGTTCAAGCAGCGGTTCGGCCACTGCAAGGTGCCCAAGGGCTGGAGCGAAGATCCGAAGCTCGCTCGCTGGGTAGGTGGACCCAAGTTTTAGATCGAACAGTTTAGGTCCGATCTAACTCCGAACATGTATGATCGGCAGGTCTGCAACATGCGGCAGAGCAAGAGGATGGGCAAGATGAAGGAGGAGCGGGTGAGGAAGCTGGAGGAGCTCGGCTTCCTGTGGCGCTGCGAGCAGACCGGAAAGGTGATCTGGGAGGAGATGATCGAGAAGCTCAAGGCCTTCCAAGCCCGCCACGGCCACTGCAGGTTCGCACCTCTTCGCTTGCTCTTCGTTTTCTGTCCCAAATTTTGCTGACTCTTCGCTCTTTTGGTAACGAGTAGAGTCCCGGTCGAATGGCCCGAAGATCCACAGCTGTCGGCGTGGGTGGTCTACGTGAGGCAGCGCAACCGTGCCAACAACCTGTCGCAGGAGAAGGTCAAGGAGCTCGACGCGATTCAGTTCGTATGGACCGACGTCGCCACGGCCGCAGCGGCTTCCAACGGTTCGACGGCTGCCACCACCTCCAACGCACAGCGGAGGAGCGACCCCGGCGAGGCCGACCCTGGCCGCCCCGAACTGTTGTACTGAGCCCCGCGACAGGGCCAGGCCGGGTTGACGAGATCGTCGCCCCCTACACGTGTACATACGCAAGCCCGACCACCACCGGAGACGCACGCTTTTTGTTTTGAGAGAAGAGGGAGAGGAGCAGATGCTTCAGCATCACCACTCACACACCGCACCGCACCACACCTGTACCATTCGCACATTCGCACATTCGCAAGAGCAGCAGTACTCAATCGCACACGCTAGCCGTTCACCTTGCTCGACCGGGTCAGAGGAGTTTAGTTTAGTTTAGTGGCCGCCTGTACATGAGCTCTCTCTTTTCGCTTGCTTGCTTGCCGCGTCCCTTGGCGATAGCGCGAGACGTCGAAGCGGTGGTGATTTAAAAAAATGTCGCGTCTTCAGGCTCCTGCCTCGATACCGTCTTCTCGTTCGACCTCTTTGTGCTTGCCTTCGCCCTCGATGGCATCGCCTTCGTCGTCCTCGCCGTTCCCTTCTTGGTCGTCCTCCTGCTCCTGTCGGCCGTTCGCTGGTCTGTGCATGACCGGCGCCTGCAGGTCGGCCCCGAGCCCCGACGACGAAGACGAACTTGAAGAAAGCGACGGATGAAGGTGCACTTCATCCACCACCCCCGCCACCGCCGCCGATTGTTGGCTCTCCACCAGCTGCATCTCGCCGTGCATGTTTCGCACATTCTCCAAATTCCGCTCGGCCTCCTTCATCAGTTGGCTGTGCGCGGTGGTGCGTGTTGTGTGTATCGTGTCGCGTCGCGTCCGTGTCGTGTCGTGTCGTGTCGTGTCGTGTCGTGTCGTGTCGTGTCGTGTCGTGTCGTGTCGTGTGTAGACGAGTCAGACAACACTTATGCCGATGGTGGCGGGGGAATTGGTTACCTGCCGAGGTTGGTGACGTGGGTGTTGAGCACGGTGTACATTTGCTGCAGCTTGCCGATGAGTTTGCTCTTTCGTTGGTACATGTCCCCGTCCGCCTTCTTGGCTGCCGAGGCCTCTTCGCACAGCCGGCTCACTGTCCGTCGCCAACACCCAACACGTTCGTATCACCGCCGCCGCAATCGAACACAACTCACGACACACACGACACACGACACGACACACACACGCAATGCACACGAAACGCGAGCAACGTACAGACAGACGCTAGTTTGTCGGAGCGCGAGCAGGCCAGTATGTAGCCCTCCTTGCCGACCATCGCCCGGACGGCGAGCCCGTAGTGCTTGTAGCAGAACTCAAAGTCCTTGAGCACGACCTCCTTGCAGCGCTGTAGCACGTACAGACCCACGCGATGAGTAACGCGACTACCCACACGAGCCGGCGCAACACCGCACACGACACACATACGACACACATACACACACACACACACACACGACACACACACACACACACACCCACAAGCGCGACACAAGCCTCCATACCTTGTTATCGCCGGGCTTGTTCCTGAAGGGCGCCTTGCACTTACAGTACAGCGAGTCCGGATCCTGCTCGATGTGCTCCGCACAGTACACCGGCTGTTCGCCTGAGCGCCGGGGGGGGGGGTGGTAACAGTTAAACTCTGCCGATAGAAGACGCGGTGGCCGAGGGGCCACTACTGAGGTTGCGTGGACTCTTTGGGTCGGTACCGATGTATTCCATGAGCGCTGCGTTGCGACACCGGGCCTGCTTCTTGGCGTTCATGCCCTGGCACTGCACGCCCTTCTGCTGCGTGAACTGTGCGCGCGCGTAGTCAGCTCCTCCCCCCTCCCGAATGATCGATCGGAAGCGGAGGGGGCGTTGGCGCACCTTCGGCCGAACCGTGCGTACGGGTTTGACATAGGGCCGCGACGGCCGTTTGCGCTTGCTCCCGTCCGGAGACTAGTAAAGCGAGAGAGAGAGAGAGAGAAGAGAGAGATTGAGTCGGGCGTTCGGTGGAGAGGAGAGGAGCGAGTGGGAGGGAATGGAGGAGACGATCACCTGGATGCAATCACCGGATGGCGGGCCATCGCCGCCAACGACAACGCCGCTGCTGGCGCCGGCACTGCTCGCGGGGGCCATCATCATCATGGAGGCTGGACCCATGCCGCCTCCCGGCGCCATCATCATCGCAGGAGACGCGCCCATGCCGCCTCCCGGCGCCATCATCATCGCGGGCGAGGGACCCATCGCCATCGCCATCGGCGGGTAGACCGCGGACGCCATGCCTCCGGGTCCGCCGGCCTGCTGGCCTCCCGCCTGCCAATCATTATTGTTATTTGTTTAATAATTTATAATAAACAGAAATAGCAAGCGAGGGAGGCGCACTGTAGGTCGGGGCGGGTTGGTCGTGGGCATGCCTGGCTGGGCCATCACAGGCATCGGACCGTAGGGCCTTCACACAAAAAGGCGCACGAGGGTTGGCGCGCAATGCACTGGAGGCTTGAAGAAGAAGAAGAAGAGTGGTCGAGGGCGCACGTACGTGTTGAGCATGGACATGGGCATCATTGACATGGCGGCGGGGTAGGGCATGGACATGGGCATCATCGACATTCCGGACATGCCAGCGGCGGGGTAGGACATGGGCACGGGCACCATCTGCATGCCCATCGAGGTCGGCATCCAGGTGTAGGACATCGCGCCCATGCCCATCGCTGGCATTCCACCCATTCCGCCCATCGCAGGCATTCCGCCCATGGCGGCCTGCATCGCGCCCATTCCGGGCATGGCGGCCATGGCCGACATGGGCATGCCCGCCATCGCGGCCATGGGCATCGTCGCCATCCCGCCCATGCCCGGCATCGCGCCCATGCTCGCCATAGTCGGCATCCCATTCATTCCCTGCATTCCCTGCATTCCTCCACCTGTCGCGCAGAGAGACGCGATGAGCGCACGACGACGAAGGGTCGAGATCGGGTGCGTGGCGGGCGTACCCATCATGTAGGCCATCTGGGGGAAGGCCTTGAGCATCATCTGCAGGTTGGAGATCGAGGGCGCGGGCGACGAGGGCGGCTGGGACGAGGAGGAGAGCGAAAGCGAAGACGAGGGCGACGATGAAGGGGAGGGGGACGACGGCGCGGGGGTCGAGGCGGGCGACGACTCCGGCGGCGACATCATCTCCGACGCCGACGCCGATGAGGTGGTGGCCGAGGTGGTCGACGTAGTGGGCGTGGTTGTAGTCGACGGCCAGCCGCTCGACGAAGGGATCATCAGCGATGTGGGCTGGGTCGATGATGAGGCGGGCATGGACGACGATGACAGGGAGACCACCGTGGAGGGAAACGACGACGGGAAGCCCGACGACAGGAAGGGCATGGACGAGGCCCCGGCGGCGGCCGATGACGACGACGACGCTGGGGAGAAGGGCGACGGCGCGCCGGACATGAAGGAGGGGAAGGGCGACGGCATGGACGAAGATGAGAGGGAGAACGCCGATGATGACGATGACGAGGAGGTAGACGTGGGTGTCTGGGTCGGGGTGAAGAGATAGGAGGACGGTGTGTGCGGCAAGCTGAGGGAGAGGGTGGACGAGGAGGAGAGTGATGCAGCCGGCGTGCTGGGCGGATTGTTGAGGGTGGTGGCGGCGGTTGAGGTGGAGGAGAAGGAGGGAGTCATCGGGGTCTGCGACGAGGCGGCGGGCAAGAAGAACGAAGACGGCATCGACGAGAGAGAGGCCGGCGGGCCGGCGGGCGACGGTGCAGGCTGTGGTGGTCCCGCTGCAGTAGCGCCAGACGCAGCGCTGCCCTGCCGCCTCTACGCAAGCCGGTCCCGGATTACCGGGGCACGTGAGCAAGCGCGTTGCACTTGTACGACGAGAGCGAGGGCGGCACAGAGCGAGGGCAGGTGGAGGAAGGAGGAAGAGGAAAGAGGAAAGAGAACGCACCAAGAGGGCTCGCTTTTCGATCCGATTCCGGCGGGATTCATTCTGTTCAATAAATGAATCAATTTTTAAAGATCAGATTTGGACTCCCAATCGATGATCAAAGGGGAGGAGGCAGGAGAACGCGTGCCATCAAATAAAGCTACGAAAGCGGCGCAGGGGCGAGCACGGGCAATGGCCTGCTCGGTACCGCGTTCGCACTTTTGACAACTCTTGCGCTACTGCTGTCCCGACCGGCCCTCCGCACCAATCCAGCCGCTGTATTCACCGAAAAGGTCCGAAGAGAGCTGTCCGGTTTTTGTCGGATTTTAAAATAGGGAAAAAAGAAAATGGCGGGAAAATAATTTGTAATAATTTGTGCTTGTTTTTGTGATTGCTGTGGCGCAAAGGATCCTTCACTGGGCGTGGAGGTTGTCGAGTTCGGTGAGGACGGTGTGGCACTTGGCCATGAAGACCTTTACGGCCTCCTCGAAGAGCACGTTGGGCGGAAGGATTCCCGTCGATTCGATCGAGACTGATCGTGTGCGGAACAGGGGGGAAAGCAGGGTTAGTGGCCCGCGCCATGGAGGGTTGAAGAGAAAGAGGCGGAGGCGGAGGAGGTACAGATGAAGTGGTCCTTGACCCTGAGCAGTTTGATCCTCTTGTCCCAACCGTCTTCTCGGATGCACTCCCTGCACATGGTGCAGTTTCGCTGGTTCTTGACGTACGCCTTGCCTGCAGGGCAACACCGGTGAGAATGAGAATGGCCGCTTCGTGAAGGGAGCTGGTGGAAGAGAAAGACGTACCAGAGTCCTCGATATCGAACACGTTCATGGGGCACTTGGCCACCAGCTTCTTGGCCTCCTGTCCCTTGAAATCCTTCACAAACTTGATATCGGGCAGCAGTCTAGCACACGATCAAGCAATCAAACGCAACCGATCAGTCTTAGCTCCTTGCGATACCTCACCTCTCCTCATGAGGTTCGATTTGGTACGTACCGGTAGTAGGCTGTCGAGACCGGCGACCACTTGGCGTGTTCCTTTCCCTCGCCCTTGGCGCAACGGCACTCCACCTCAATTTCCTGATAGCACGGCGCATGGAAGAGCGGTTGGGCCTGTGCCACTACATTGTGCGCTCAAGAACTCGTGGGAATGGACACACCTGACCGGGTCGCAGCTTGGCTATGAGGATGTCGTCGTGCACTGGTCGGGGCGGATCATCGGCAAAGAGCTCCGCTTGCCCGCCCACCGGCTCCCAGATCAGATCTCGCGAGTATACTATTTGCGATGTGCGATGTGCATCAGTACATAGGCAGCGTGGTGCTGTTGCATTGCAATGGAAAGAGAGCAAGATAGGCTGCGGGCTGCGGGCTGTGGGCTTACCTTTAGAGTTGACGTAGGCCTCCTCCGGGTTCTGAGGGTTTGTGTTGTTCGACCGAGTGCAGCGCACCTTCAACTTGAATACGAGCGTGGTCTCGTCCGTCTCCTCCTCGCCGGCTGGGATGATCATAAGAGTGCAGTTTAGCCATTGACTGAGTCACTGCGAGAATTCAACACACATGAGACGCAGCACACGATGGGCGTACGTTTCTTGAACTCGAACTTGCGCGGATCGACCTTGATGGGAATGAGACCCAGGCGGTGAGCAAGCACTTCGTCTTGGATGATGGAAGTGTTGTTGTGTATCCAGACGTGCTCGATGGCCATGGTGGGGATCTCGGAGAGGAGGATGCGACGGAAGGCGTTCGCCACGGGAGCATCGACGCCGATGAGGTCGAACACGAGCAGGCCCTCCTTGGGCTTGTAGTCGATGATCTTGATCTTCAGGTTGGACATGAGGTCGTTGATGTCGAACTTGTTGTCCACGCCGAGCGACTGGTAGGTGTCTGACGCGAACGACGTGCCCGGCTGCACGCGCAAGTCCACAAGCAGAAATGCGTGGAAGAGTACATCAGCAACCAAAGCATCACAGTCACGACACTCTGCTCTGCCTACATGCCGCTCATAAATTAATCTCCGCATTTTCCATCTCCAAATCTGATTTTCGTGGCCGGCGACATCTCTCCCCCACCGATGCGGCATTGTGCCTATAAATTATAATGTGCAGCTGTGATTGAAAGGGGAAGATGAAAAATCGTACGTAAACGGGGGCCGGATTGGTGAAGCCTACGCGAGTCTTCTTCTCGTGAAGATTCTCCGACATGCTACCCTTCTTCTTGCTCGACATTGTGAGTGGCTGGACGATAATCGGTACAGGCAGTGAATGAGCCCCCTTGCTGGATCGCACAGCTGTGGATGTAGAATCAATCTGAACGGAGACAAAGGCAGCGCCAGAGAAAAGACTTATTTCTTTCCGACTTATTTCGCATGTCTTACGGGTCA